CCACGGGCTTTGGAGGCAGGGAAATAGGCAGATCTGACAAACTCAGACTTCAAAGCCTGTGTCTCCCAGCGCCCCAGCTGGTTTACTCTGCAGAGTGGCACTGACAAACCCAGCACCTCCCAGGGCAGGATTTTAATCCTCCCAGGGGCTGCCATTCTTGAGCACCTGCTTGGGGCCAGCCTCTGTGCCAACCTCCCCGCAATGTGCCCACCTCACTCTCAGGTACCCCAGGGAGGTGGGCATGGTCCTCATTATCTCCCTTTTTCAGATGAGGAAACTGAGGCTGGGGAGGGTCAACTGCTTTGCCAATGCCACAGCATTTGGTGGGGGGCCAGGGCTGGAACATGAGTTGATCTGACTCCAAAGCCTGTGCTCTTAACCGAAGGGTCTCTCAGCTCCTGGCCATGGCCACCCCCGTCCCGTGTCAGAGCCAATCCGCGCGACTTTCTTTGCGGTGTTTCCGCCTTGTTTAACGTGATTTCTTGCTGAGCACTGTGGCTTACAGATGCCTTCCCCCCTTCCTTTCAGGAAACTCACCCCTTTCCCAGGACTGGGCAGCCGTCCAACCAGGGCCCACCCCTAATGAGAATGGAGGGGTCCCTGGGGCTTGTGAAGCCTGGCAAGGAGTTAGAAATTTCTCCCGCGCTGGGGCCAATGGTGGGACCGTCGGGAAACCAGCAGGCTTTAGGGAAGAGGCTCCCCTGTGCTGACTGTCGCGGCTTGGCCTTTATTCCCACAGGTGCTTTGTGCCGGGGCGGGCCCCTCCCAGGTGACCGAGGCCGGGTCTGCAGGTCCCCGCGCCCGCAGAGCTCCCGCGCGCCCCCGCGTGGCCGCAGACGGCAGCGCCGCTTCGGGAGCGGGGTTTGCAGGAGGAGGGGCCCGAGTGGGAGGGGCAGGGGCTGGGGGCCGGTTATGGGACCTGCGCGCCGGAGGCCCTGGACCTGGGCTGCCGGGCTTATTACCGGCACCATAACAGCCAAGCAGGGGCTGTTGCTGCCGGGGACAGTGGCATGCAGCCTCTGGCCTGGGATAAGCTGGGGAGGCAGGGACCGTCCGCCACCAGCAGAGCATCACAGCGAGACAGGCGGCCCGGGGCCTACGGGCAGCTCCCGGAGGCTTCCAGGAAGAGCAAACAGCACGCGTTGGCCTGGGAGGAGAGGATGGGGCAGGCTGAGGGCAGGTCTGATGGGACAGGTGAAGCAGAGGTGCGATTGGACTGGGAGGGAGGGATCGTGGGAAACAGGCTGGGGGGCCGGTGGGGGCGGTGGGGCGGCAGGCAGTGGAAGCGGGCAGCGCTGCCAGGGATTCCTGCGAGGGCACAGGTGCGCGGCAGGTGTGGACATGGGGGTGGCGTGATGATGTGAGGCTTCAGACCCTTCTCCCAGGGCTGGGAGGCGAGGGGTGAGCACTGTCCCAGGCCTGGCTGGCAGTGTGCGGATCCCAGGAGGCGGAAGAGCTTCCCCTAGTCTTCTGTCTGCTTTTCTGGCTGGAGAAGGAGGACTCTGTAAAGTCAGGGCAAGGACTGCGTCTGTTCCACAATGTGCCCTTAACTGGCCACATGTACTTTCAACATTTCCTTTAAAGAAAAGAAACGGGCCCAGGAACTGGGCCCAGTGGCTCATGCCTGTAATCCCAGCTCTTTGGGAGGCCAAGGCCGGAGGATCGCTTGAGGCCAGGAGTTCGAGACCAGCCTGGGCAACATAGCTTGCTTTTTTAAAAAAGAATTAAAAATTTAAAAATTAATTGGGCATGGTGGTGCACACCTGTAGTCTCAGCTACTCAGGAGGCTGAGGTGGGAGGATTGCTTGAGCCCAGGAGGTCGAGGCTGCAGTGGGCCGTGATTGCATCACTGTACCCCATCCTGGGCCACACAGTGAGAATCTGTGTAAAAGAAAAGAAGCTGGCCACAGAAAACAGCCTAGTTCCAAATGGAATTTACCAGGCTGTGATGAAAACTTCGGACCCCTCAGCTCTTAGCCACCTGCACAGCCCAGCAGATGCTGCTTGCGAAAGATGATTCTGCAGGCTTCTTCCCTACTTTGTGTTCAGTGACCTCACTTTGGTAGCTCAAAATGGGCCATGGTGGGAGTATTGATGCCACAGAAATGGGTAAGGGCCAACATCAGGGCTTTTTGAGGGGGGTCTGGAGAGCCGGTTTGCTGGGACGCCGCTGTGGCTGCCCCTCTGGGGAAAAGCCCTGTGAGAATGTGCAGAGTCACGTGGTCTTCGATTTTCCGTGCTTCAATTTCCTTGTGTGTGAGTCTGAATAATGACGTTTTCTGAGTCCCTCTCTTGGTTAATGTGGAGAACAAATGGTTGTGGACTCTGGCGCCATGGAAACCTTATCATGTCCCTGCCTAGTGCTGGAAGACTTGCTTCAAGGACCCAAGCCCCTGAGCACAGAGAGGCAGGTGTTGTGGCTGAAAGTACTCGGGACCAGGACCTTAAAACTGGCATTGACACACCACCGGCCACTCTTTGGCACCCTTGGACCAGTCAGCTAACGTCTCTGGGCTCCGGCATCTTCATCTGCAGGAGGGGTTTGGGCTGAAGGGTCCTTTGTTCCCCTTCTGGATGTGACATTTGGCATGCATGGTCCTCTCCACCACATACATCTCCACATTCCTACTTCTCTAAACCCTAAACCTGCTCCTTTCTCTTTCATTTATTTATTTTTGTAGAGACAGGGTCTCACTCTTGCCCATGCTGGAGTGCAGTGGCAAGAACAAGGCTCACTGCAGCCTCCACCTCCCAGGCTCCAGCGATCCTCCCACCTCCGTCTCCCCACGAGTAGCTGGGATTATAGGCACGCAGCACCATGCCTAGCTAATTAAAAAAAAATTTCCTACAGAGACAGGGTCTAACTATATTGCCCAGGCTGGTCTTGAACTCCTGGGCTCAAGCGATCCTCCTGCCTCGGCCTCTGGAAGTACTGGGATTCCAGGTGGAAACCATTTTGCCCAGTCTCATTCCCCTCTTGATTCATGAAAAGCTCTGGGCGTTTCCTGTCTCACCAGCCTCGCCTTCTCAGTGAGTGGTGTGGTCACCATCTCTTCTCAGTGCACTCCTTGTGGCTGGGGGCTTTCATTGAGTCCCATAGCTTGTGTTGACAAGTCTCAAATTTAAATTGCCAGACTAAACTGCATCCCTGGGTATGGGCCCATCTGTACAACCTGTGCCCAGGAACAGCTGCACATGGCCGCGTCACCAGCATTGAGGCTGATCACGGCCGAAACAAGTCTCAGCCTCCCCGACTCCTGTCCCCAACATTTTAGCATGTCAGCAAGTGGCTCAAGACCCAACCATTGGACCCATCCTTCATTTTTCTACTTTCTTCACCCTCCCGCATAATCTGTCCACAAACCTCGAATGTCGTGCCTCTTAAAGGTATTTGGAATCTGTGCACATTGCAGCTTCTCCACCCCTGCCACTGGAATGTCCTGCTGGGCCCTGCAGCAACCTCCAAACTGGCCACTTCCTGCTCCCGTTTCTGTCCCTGGCCCAGCAGTGAGACCCACTCGTTTAATCGTCAACCTCAGACCCTGTGTGACCTCAGCTTGGGGCTCCCCGCTGTGTATCCAGCAACCTCCTGCCTTGGGGCTGTGGTCAGCTCCTGTTAGAGCCTCGCTCTGTGCCAGCCTGCAAGCACACTGGCCTTCTGTCTCATCCAAAACACGCTGAACCTGTCCCACCGTGGGGCCTGTCCCTGGCTCTTTCCCCTGCCTGGAATCTCTTTCCCAGAGCCTGGCATGTCTGGCTTCTTGTCATTCTGATCTCTCCCTAAATCCACCTTCTCAGAGAGGCCATTCCACGCTGGGCAAATGAAAAGGTAGTGCCTGCCTCGCCGCTGCCTGTGGCTGTCTCTTCTCCGCCATCACCAGCATCTGAGCACTCTGCCCATGGATTCATTGGCTTTTGTATCCTCTGCTTTCTTGTGCCTTTAAATGACAGGTTCCAGACTCCAGGGCCTGGACTGTCTTGTTCGACTGTTTTGTATCCTGAGCCCACCAGAGCCTGGCATGGAGCTGGCTCCCGTTACATATTTTTGGGATGAATGAATGACTTTCTTCTGCTTGGTCTAGGAGGCTGTGGCTGCACAGACAGACAAGGGAGCACTGTCCTCAGAGGCTCCCGGGGAGTTCCAGGAACACAGCCCTGGAGCTCTCCTCCCAAACGCACCCCACGCATGTCCTTGGAGGCCAGCCTCCAGAGAGTTCCAGGAACACAGCCCCGGAGCTCTCCTCCCAAATGCACCCCACGCATGTCCTCGGAGGTAGGCTTCCAGAGAGTTCCAGGAATATAGCCCTGGAGCTGTCCTCCCAAACACACCCCACATGTGTCCTAGGAGGCTCCCGGAGAGTTCCAGGAACACAGCCCCAGAGCTATCCTCCCAAACGCACCCCACACGACGGTTTCCGAGCTATCCCCAGAGTGGAGCCCAGAGATGGCAAGAAGGAGGGGAGGCAGCAGCTCTGGCCAGAGGCTGAGGGAGTTCTGGCTTTTGGGGGAGGGTGGGAATTCTGGCCACTGGTCCGGGTGGTCTGCTCTGGAAAGACCTCCTCCAAGCCCAGAGCAGAGAGGCCGGAAGGGTCAGCCGTGGGATCTCAGGGGTGATCGGTCGCCTCTCTGTTGCAGCCAGGTTAGTGGGAGTCACCCACTTGGTGGGGCCTGGCAGCTCAGTTCTGGCTGCCTAGGACTGTAGCCGGACATCAGGGTGGAGGGCCAGGGAGCGTGGGGCCACCCTCCCGCCTCTGCTTTCTGGGTCTCTGACCTTGAGCCATGGGGCGTTATGCGACCTCAGACAGAAGAATCATGGTCCCCAGCAGTCCCATCACAACGAGGGCCCAGCTGCTGGGCAGGACAGCAGACCTTCCGTGGAGCGGGAGAGCAGGCCTTCCGTCAGGCGGAAGAGCAGGCTCTAAGGAAAGCCAGAGGACCCGTGAGGGAGAGAGGGATGGCTCCTCACCCCAGCTCCCCCACAGTAGACTCAGGGTCCTCTGGTGGTCCCCACGAGCCCCCCACTTCCTCTTTCACCGCCGCCTTGGTCCCATGGCCCTTGTCCACCACGGCACTTCACAGCCCTGCTCAGGAGGGCCCAGCCCTCTCCAGCCAGGCCCCCACCAGGGTCGCCACCTTGTCAGTTTCCAGGTGACCTTTGTCCCCAGGATGGATCAGGTTCAGGTGGGGAGGTGTGTGTGTGTGGGAGGCTGATACAGGAAGATTCTAGAAAGGAGGCCCTCAGGTTGCCGTGGTGGGGAGTGGGGAGTGGGGATCCAGCAGCCAGGAGGTGGGCTCTGCACAGCAGGCCCGCCTGGGCCACCCTTGCTCCCTCTGTCCCCTTCTTGAGCAAGGCTGCCCACTCCTCCCGCTCGCCCTCTTGTGCTGCCCGAGATGCATGAGGTGCTCCTGAGAGGTCACGTGTTGTGGGAATGTGAGGGATTCCGGTATTCCCCAAAGCCAGGGGAGGCAGCCCCGCTCGGGGTTTGAGGCGTATCCTGGTCACAGGCACGCAGGCACCCACGTGTGCACACCTGTGCACACTCGAGCAGGCCGGGATTTGGGGCACCCTGCCCTCACCCGTGTGCAGCATAGGCAGCAGGGTAGCCGGGTCCCCATCGTTGGCCTCGGGCACGATGCCCAGCAGCCGGCACATGAGCTCGTACACGTGGACGCTCTCAAAGGGCTCCACCTCCAGGCCCGCCTTGAAGCTGGGGCCCACAGCGCGGAAGATGGTCTTCATGTCCATGTCTTTGTTGTCAAAGCCGTGCTCCCCATTGTTGAACTGGACGTTAACTCTCTGCCGGGGAGTGGTAAAGGGTCCTGGGTCCTTGCTGGGAGCAAGAGACCCTCTCCACCTACCCTATCCACCCTACGAACGCCCCCTTCCCCTTAGGAAGGAGCACCAATACGGGGGCTGGAGGGGTTCCAAGACTCAGTTTCCCTGAATTCTCAGCGTCCGGAGATCAGTCACCCTACAGAGTGAAGTTCAGGGAAGGTCCAGTTAAATGAACGGAGACCAGACCCTGAGTAAATGGGAGTGGAGCGAGCAGCTCCAGGCTGCGGGCCCTGCCTCCTGGGTGGTGGTGAATGCTGGCTCCCATCGGTCACTTCCTTTCTGGGGATGTCTGCTCCCTAATCTGTGCTTTGCTTCTGGCTCAGCACAACTGTGCTCTCTGCTGAGGGGAGGTCGGGCTCCTGCCTCTTTTCTGCCTCCTCCCTGTCACCCTTGGGGCTGGACTCCTACACTTTACCCTGGACACGTAGGGCACACACACACGCCTATCACACAGTGCTCGGACGTGACGGGTACAGTTGTGCACACACACTCCCACTGCGTGATGCCTGAATGTGGGGGGCACACACAGATGTGCACACACAGATGTGCACACACACACTACTGCCTCGTGAAGGGTGTGTCCCTTCAGTGCTGACGCTCCTCAGACTGGGGGCCAGCTAGAAATAGGGAGTGCCTCTATAGAGATGGAAGGAGAGGCCAGACGCAGTGGCTCACCCCTGTAATTTCAGCACTTTGGGAGGCCAAGGCAGGAGGATCGCTTCAACTCAGGAGTTTGAGACCAGCCTGGGCAATATGCAAAACCCTGTCTCTACAAAAAATACAAAAATCAGCCAGGTGTGGTGGCTCACACCTGTAATCCCAGAACTTTGGAAGGCCGAGGTGGGTGGATCATCTGAGGCCAGGAGTTTGAGACCAGCCTGGCCAACATGGTGAAACCCTGTCTCTACTAAAAACACAAAAAATTAGGCATGGTGGCAGGCGTCTGTAATCCCAGCTACTCAGGGGGCTGAGGCAGGAGAATCGCTTGAACCCGGGAGGTGGAGGTTGCAGTGAGCTGAGATCGTACCACTGCACTCCAGCCTGGATGACAAGAGTGAAACTCTGTCTCAAACGAAACCAAACCAAACAAAACAAAACGCACACAAAAATTAGCCAGGCATGGTGGCATGCACCTGTGGTCTCAGCTACTCAGGAGGCTGAGGTGGAAGGATCCCTTGAGCCTGGGAGTTTAAGGCTGCAGTGAGCTGAGATCCTGCCATTGCACTCCAGCCTGGGCAACAGAGCAAGACCCTATCTCAAAACAAAACAAAACAAAACAAAACAAAAACAAAAAAAGGAGACCCAGAGCCCGGGGAGGGAGCCCCCAGAGGTGGTGCCTCCAGCAGGCGACTCACCCCGTGGATGACGTAGCCAAGGTCGCTGTACATCAGCAGAGGTGTGACCCTGGGGTTGTTGGCGTAATGGAAGGCCTCGGGGAACTCCTCCTTCTTGTAGACGTGGAGCTTGGGGTGGGCATCCTTGAGCGCATTGTATACCTTCTCCAGCCTCCCTTCTTTAGGGAGCAGCATCCCGTTTGGTCCGTAGTCCAGGAGCTCAAACTGGATGTCCTGGAAGGTGAAGTTGGGGAACTTGTGGAATTCGACCAGGTCGCCAGCCTGCTTGTCCACGGTCGTCATGCCGTGGTCGGATGTGATGATCAGGTTGAGGTGGTCTGTGAGGTGGTTGCGAGCAATGCTCTCCCGCAGGTAGCCCACGGTCCGATCCACCTGCCGCACCATCTCCCTCCTCTCCGGGGACTCGGGGCCGTACTTGTGGCCCGTGGAGTCTGGCTCCCCGAAGTAGAGTGTGACCAGATCCAGGTCCTCCTCCGTGAACCACGCCATCACCGTGTCGATGTTCGCTCTCCACTCCGTCTCATTTTTGTAGTTGTGCGCGATGCCTTCCTTCCGGCTCCGCGTCACGGCCACCCCTTGGTAGGTGACGTTCCCGCCCGGGTAGAAGAAGGAGCCAGCCCTCAGACCCTGCCAGACAAGGCAGCGTGAAGGACAGGACTCCTCAGTGGGCGCCCCTCATCCCATGCCTGTGAACACATTTGTCCCCCACCTGCCTCCTCCTCTGTTCCACCCACCCATCCCTGCTCCTCGCTGCAGCTACGGGGCCTTCAATTTCTAAAACATCCCTGATCTCATGCTCTATAGGGGGTAAAACCTGATTTTATAGAGGAAACGACAGGTGCCCACTGGACTTGAGCACTAAACGAGACATCAGGGTAAAAATGTTCCTAGATACGCAGTGTCTGCCTCATCACTGGGCTATGATGCCTGCCTCGAGGCCACACTGCCCAGAAAGCAGCTCCTTCTGAACTGAAGTCTGGCCTGCCCTGCTGGGCTCTGGTCCGGGCATGAGTCTGTCTGTCTGTCCACCTGTGTCCCGTCCACCTGCCCCTCCAGCCTTCTGCCTGGCCGCCTGTCTGCCCCTAACTCGACTGCTGCTTTATTTAGAATTTGTCTGTCCCCCCAGCCCTCTGTCCACCCCACCTGCCCATCCACTCCCCCAGGATATTCTTTCATTGGATCAAGCGCCTTGAGACGCCAGGGTCTCTACCTTGGCCTCCTGCTTGCCTGTGGAGGGAGCCCTGAGTGTGTCTATGGATCCTTCTGGAGCGAGGGAACTCCGGCTTGAGTGGATACCTTGGCTCTGGGGTGGGCATGGGCTCTGACGTTTATTCCAGCCTCATCTTGGAAACCTCCACTGACTTTGTTTACTGGAAGCCTCGCCTCTGGGCCAGGAAGCCCCCAGAGCATTGCAAACTGGGTGGGGGGCGGTCCTGGGTCAATACTGTAACCCACCTCTCATTTTATCTTTGGCCCTTTAGAATTTAGCTGCTCAGCTCTGACAGGGATGTGGGAAAGGGAGAAAGTCGTGTAATTGTTTTTTTTTTTTTTTTTTTTGAGACGGAGTCTCGCTCTGTCACCCAGGTTGGAGTGCAGTGGCCGGATCTCAGCTCACTGCAAGCTCCGCCTCCCGGGTTGACGCCATTCTCCTGCCTCAGCCTCCCGAGTAGCTGGGACTACAGGCGCCCGCCACATCGCCCGGCTAGTTTTTTGTATTTTTTTAGTGGAGACGGGGTTTCACCGTGTTAGCCAGGATGGTCTCGATCTCCTGACCTCGTGATCCACCCGTCTCGGCCTCCCAAAGTGCTGGGATTACAGTCGTGTAATTGTTAAATGCTTTCTTGTTGAGTCACAATGATCTTCCCAGCCTGACCCTCTCCCCCAATGCTGCAGGGCCCACGGGTGCAGTTCTCCCTCCGACTAGGGGGACAGAGCAATCCCTCTTGCTCCCAGGGCCCCCCAGGGAGGACTGGGCAGGGCTGTGTCCATGGGCCGAGCCGGACATAGCTCACTGGTTAGTCCTCACCGGCACCCACCACCTGCCCATTCTGGGGCCCTACTTCACACTCTTCTGTGCCAGGGTAGGCCAGGAGCCCCGAGACCCTGGAGTGGGGAAGGGACCTGCTGTGGATCTCACATGGTTCCAAGCCTCGCCTGGGCCTAGGTGCCCCCATGCTCTGCAATGTCAGTATGGGTGGGGGTGACATTACCTGCCTCTGGGCCGTGATCCAGATGGGCACGCTGCCATTGTCCCACCACCTCTGGATGCCCAGCGTGGCGTGGTAGGGCAGCTTCACCCTGCTGGTGGTGTTGTAGTACATGTTGTGAACCACCCCGTGGTTCTCGATATATTTGCCTGAGGGAGGAAGAGGTGCAGAGGGTGGCAGGATGGACCCGGGGTCACAGCGAAGGCCGGACCCAGGGCTGGAAGAGGCGAAGTCAAAGCCGCCTCGGTTTCCCTGTGTGCTGGGTGGGGAGTGGGCCTGGGGCAGGGCTGGGAGGAGCAGACTTCTTTCTGCGCTGCCCCGTGGGAGCCAAGGTTCGAGGTCATGTCCGAGACAAATAGACACGTGTTCTTTGAGCTATTGTACCAATTGCACTTCCACTTTCAGTTTGTCCCGCAGCTGGACGGGCACATAGGCACGAATGCATGTGCGGGGATCCTGGTGGCAGACTTGTTTGCTTTAGCAAAAGATTGCGGGTGACCTCCATGGCCATCAGGAAGGCACTCTTTAAATAAATGACGGCCCAGCCATCAGATGAGATCCCGGGCAGGAATTTCAGTGAACCAGGAGATTTTTTGAATTTATTTTTGTACAGGAAACACGTGCACATGGTACTAAGCCCAAAAGGTGCAAACGGAGAGATGAAGTGGAGAAGGTCCCTCCGTCCTCATCCGCGATACAGAGAAACAGGTGGCGCACGGACGGGAGAACTGCACACCTCTGTTTGCGGTTAGAAGGGGCCGAGGTTGCAGAAAGGCTGGTGTGGGGATCAGCTGCCTGTGTTGGGGTGAACGGTGTCCCACCACGTTCATGCTCACTTGGAACCTTAGAATGTGTCCTTATTTGGAAATAGGGTCTTTGCAGTGTGATTAGCTAGGGTAAGGGGATGTATACTGGAGAAGTGTGGACGCTAAATTCAGCGACTGGTGTCCTTGTGAGAAGAGGAAAGTTTGAATACAGACACTCACAGGGAGAGACCCTGGGAAGGCGTAGGGAGAGGTTGGAGTGATGCTACCACCAGCCCAGGAATGCCAAGGATTGCGGAGGCCCCGGGAGCCAGAAGAGGTGAGGAGGGAGCCTCTTCTGCTAGAACCTTCGGGGCGGGTGCAGCCCTGCAATGCCCTGGTTTTGGCCTTCTGGCCTCCAGAAGCATGCGGATCCGTTTTTGTGGGTTTAAGCCAGTCTGCAGTTCTTCGTTGCAGGGGCTCTGGGACACCCACGCAGGGTCTTTGGAGGATGACCCAAGTTTGGGAGGTGGGCAAGCCCCCTTAGGGAGGGCCAGGGGTGTTTGCTTTTCAACTCTCTAACACCTTTTTTGCAGTACTTGGCTCTTTATTATTTTAATATTGTTTATTTTTTTGACACAGGGTTGTGCTCTGTTGCCTAGGCTGGAGTGCAGTGGCGTGATCGCAGCTCACTGCAACCTCTGCCTCCTGGACTCCAGCAATCCTCCTGCCTCAGCCTCCTTTATTTTTATTTTTTATTTTTTATTTTTATTTTTTTTGAGACGGAGTCTCACTCTGTCGCCCGGGCTGGAGTACAGTGGCCGGATCTCAGCTCACTGCAAGCTCCGCCTCCCGGGTTTACGTCATTCTCCTGCCTCAGCCTCCCGAGTAGCTGGGACTACAGGCGCCCGCCACCTCGCCCGGCTAGTTTTTTGTATTTTTTTAGTAGAGACGGGGTTTCACTGTGTTAGCCAGGATGGTCTCGATCTCCTGGCCTCGTGATCCGCCCGTCTCGGCCTCCCAAAGTGCTGGGATTACAGGCTTGAGCCACCGCGCCCGGCCTTATTTTTTTTTTTAATTTATTTTTTTGAGATGCAGTCTTGCTTTGTCACCCAGGCTGGAGTTCAGTGGTGCGATCTCAGCTCACTGCAACCTCCACCTCCTGGGTTCATGCAATTCTCCTGCCTCAGCCTCCCGAGTAGCTGGGATTACAGGCATGCGCCACCATGCCCGGCTAATGTTTGTATTTTTAGTAAAGATGGGGTTTCGCCATGTTGGCCAGGCAGGTCTCGAACTCCCAACCTCCAGTGATCTGCCTGCCTCAGCCTCTCAAAGTGCTGGGGTTACAGGCGTGGGCCACTGCGTCTGGCCTCATATTTGGCTTTTAAAAAACCTATGAGTGTATTGTCTACAGCCTGGGCAGATCTGTCAGGGAGGTGTTGGGTGGGAAATGGAAAAGCTGGAAGGGAGAGGGAGAGGCTGACACAGCCAGCTGGAGGGGCAGGCAGGGGAGGGGAGCCGTGGGAGTCATCAGGGAGCCCGCCACGCTACCCTCCTCCTGAAGCCTTCTGGGGTTGCTGCCCTGGCTGCGGCCATGGCTTTAAGGACCCCCCTGGTCATTTTTCTTTGTCCCGGATCTGTTGCTACCAACGGTGAGGATTCCTAATGGTCCCCTTGGCTGTGTCCTGTGCATGGAATGAGGACCTCTCCCCTTTATCCTGCACGACAGGGCTCTATGCCACCTGGTTTCTCAGGCCCTCCCACCCCCAGGCCCCATCCTGGGGCGGTACTCACCGGTGACCAGGGTGAAGTGGCAGGGGCTGGTCATGGTGACAAAGGCGGGGGTCATGTAGCGTGCCTTCACCCCGTCTCGGGCCATGGCATCCAGGTTGGGGGTGTCCACGTCCTGGTCATAGTTCCAGCGGAAGCCGTCGAAGGACACCAGAAGCAGCTTGTTCCGGGAGCCCTGACTTTGTACCGGTGCCCCGGCCCCGGGAGCCAGGAGCGTGGCCAGAGCCACAGTGAGGAGGATGGCTGGGCCTCTCATGCTGGGCCTTCCAGATGGACAGGCACACAGGGTGCACAGGACCGGCTCCTGCCGAGGAGGGCAAAGTCCCAGGGTCACCCGGGCTGATCTCATCCCGTGCGTCTTTGGAATGTGGCTGTGCACATCCCTGGGTCGTACCTCGGGAGTGGGCTCCCCAGCCGGGTCAGTGCCACCCCTGATCCCAGCCTCACGTGTGTGGGGTGGCATCAACTTGAGCACCTGCCTTTATTGCCAGCCGCGCCCTTGGGGCTCCAGGCTCCTCCCTCCCTCCCCAGAGTGTGGACAGTGACCCAGGGCTCAGAGCACAGCAGGAGCCCGTTCCACCAGGAAAGTCGTGCCCTCTCCCTCCCCCGTAGCAGCCGGTGGTCCCTCTGTCCCAGCTCACCCTGACCCCAGGGGACCCAGGTGAGGGTGGGGTGGAACCCGCCTCCAGGCCTTTAGTGGTGCATGGGCCTCAGGTCTGCCTGGGCGAGGGCCTGTGGGGCAGGCTTCCCATGGTCAGGGCCAGGACCAAGCCTGGGTCACAGCATGGCCTTTTCCCGGGGGAACCCCAGGCTGGGTGCCTCTTCTTCTCCTCTTGCTCCTGTTAAGGGGCTCCTGGAGCTTGGTGAGCAGACCCGAAACCCGATGGCTCCAGAGCAGCGTCCTGCGTGCCTTCCTTCTTGGGGTGCTTCCTTCTTCGGAATTTCAGAGGGGGCCTGGGGCTCGGGCGTTCTTGCTTCATGGGCTTTTTGACAAGGGGTCAGAAGAGGGGGACTCCCTTGTTACCATGGGCACATGAGAGGTGGGAGAGGAACCCCTGGATTCAGCGTGCAGTTCTCCCTCCCTCCCTCTCTGCCATCTCTCCTTCCCCTTTCTCTTATTCTCTCTGTCTCTATCTCTCTCCCTCTTTCCTTCTCTGTATGTCTCTGTCTCAGCACCTATTAAGCACTTTCTGTGTGCCAGGCATGGTTTTAGGTTCTGGGGACACAGAAGTGAATGAGACAGACAATGATCCTGGTGGCCTCCATTCGAGTTGGGGACACAGAAAATAAAATGAACAAAGAAGAAAAAAAAAGATAGTTTCCCAAAAGAAAGGAAGGCAGGAAGCTGTGATGGGGAGGCTGGTGGAGTGGGTGGGGCGGCACTCAGTGGTGGCTGGTTGGGTTTCGCTGAGAGGATGGTGGAGGTCAGTGACTCTGGGGGACCATGAGCCAGGGGAGCAGGCATGGGGCAGGTGGCAGGGGCGGCAGGGCCGGTCCCGTGGGGCAGGTGACGGTGATTCTCATGCCAGGCAGTGGAAGCCAGGGGTGGGTTTTAAGCAAGAGAGTGACATGAACTGATCTAATGCTAAAAAAGCACTCTCCATTTGTGGGTGAAGGTTGGACCAGAATGAGGGCAGAATGAACACTGGGTGCTCCCTGGAGAGGTGACTGCCTGTGTCTGAACAGGAGCTATTGGTGGCCCGGACCAGGGTGGTGGCTGTGGAATGGGGCTGGGTTTGAGGTGGATCCTGGAGGTTTTGCTGAGAGGTGGTGCATTGGATTGCATGGTTGGAGGTGGTGCACTGGATTGCATGGTGGGAAGACGGAAGGGCGTGGCTGGGGGTATTGTCACAATTTCAATCTGGAGCCACACACCTGCCAACAGTGGCCCCGGCCTTCCTTAAGACCTTTGCCTGGCTGCGGCAAGCAGACGCCGTCTCAGAGCGATGGCCGTGGCACTCAGATGACACTGCAGACGCTGTCCACAGCCTCCCCAGGCCAGCCAGCCTTTCTTGACCCAGGTGGGCAGGGACCACTGGTACGGATCCCCGGCCGCCCCTGCCTGGCCGACTGGAATACACTCTGAAGGAGGACTCCGTGCCAGTGACCTTCCTTCTTCACGCTTCTGTGCACCAAAGGCTGAAAACCAGGATGGAGTGACTGCCCGGTGCCTACAACCACCACGTGGGGTGCCTCCTCTGCAGGGCTGGGGTTCAGGGCGCCCAGAGGTTGCGGCTCCTTCCTGGGGAGCACAGACCTTGGGGAGGGTAAGAATTCCTGTGTGTCAGGGACACAGGTTGCGATGCACGCACAGGGGGAGTGCAGGCGGCTTCAGGAGAGGAGATCGGGCTTTGCTGGCACCAGCGTTGGGGGAGGCCCACAGGATGCATGGAGCCAGGAGAGGGCAGGAAGGCTTCAGGCAGAGGGACCAGGCATGGAGGAAGGGAGGCACCCGGGCTCCCGAGGGGGTCGACCAGGGGCCTGTAGGCCATGGCGGAGTCTGGATTGTCCGCTGTAGGAGAGCTGGTTAGTTGTCCCCTAATAGCTGTTCTCCCCCTTTTCCATGATAAGATGGCTGCTAAGAAGAAAGACTACATTTCCCAGCATTCCTTGCAACAAGGCATGGCCACGTGACCACATTTTGGCCAATGGGGCGAAAGGAGAATGTTCTGTACATTCTCCAGAAGCTAGCTTTGCTTCTCTTCTTTTTTGATTTTTTCTCCATCTGATGCCTCCGGCTGGCAAGCCACCCTGAGTTGCCTGATGAGGGGCTCCCTGGGGATGGCTGGGGTGCGCAGAACGGGCCTGGTCCCCAGTGTCCTGTGTAGTAGCTCAGCTCCAGGCTGCATTCTCACAGGGTGAATACAACACACTCTGCCTCGTTGCCGTTTCCATTATTTTGGTTTCCTGTCACTCTCAGCGGGACCTAGTTCAAGCTGATAATAGAATTCCAGGCCTGGAGGGCATTGCTAGGTTCAAGCAAGAGCTGGCTGTGGGGTGGGGTTCGAGAGGGCCACCAGGGAGGCAGGGCCTGAGTGAGGGGCCGAGGCTGTGGTCCAGGGGCCTGGCCAGGCCTCTGCTGGGGTGCATTTGGGGTGTGCTTGGGGCCGGCGCAGATCTTGGTGGCTTGCAGGTCTGGGTCCATGGTTCTGCAGGTTCTCTTGTCGGTCCCCGGGGTTGTGCAAATTCCTGGTCCTGTTCACCCTCTTACTGCCTGGGCCTGGTCTGGAGATGGCATGAAAGGTCTGCTCCTGCTCCTCTCAGGACATCCCAGCCATGCTGGGGTAACTCTGCCTCTGGTTTTTGGCTCTGTACCTCAATCCCACTTTGCTGGGGAGCTCCTTGGGTCACCCCACATAGGTTTCCGTTTTCTCCCTGATCTCATAGAGCACTTGGATGGAATGGGTGTGCGGTGGTTGATTTTGGATGAAAGGGTGTGTGGTGGTTGATTTTGGATGGAATGGGTGTGCAGTGGTTGATTTTGGATGGAATGGGTGTGCGGTGGTTGATTGTAGCTCACGGCTACAGGACATTTCCCACAGTCCAGGCACTGGGAAATAGCCACGATCTCACTGAAGCTTGGAGGTAGTTCTTGAGGCAGGAATTAGTATAATCCTCAGTTTACGGGTGGGGAACTGAGGCAGAGAGAGGTTAAAGTCACTTGGTAACTGGAGGAGCTGAGCTGGAACCCAAGCGTTCTGGCTCCCGATCCCCAGCATTCAGCTTCAACTGCTTCAAGAGGCAGCAATTTACCAACCTTTGTTCACTTGGGATCCTATTGTCAGGTTTTGGGGCTACTGACAACATTTTCTTTAAAAAATGGTGCAGTCCAGCCTGGTCAACGTGGTGAAAACCCATCTCTACTAAAAATACAAAAATTAACTGGGCGTGCTGGTGCGCACCTGTAATCTCAGCTACTTGGGAGGCTGAGGCATGGGGATTGCTTGAATCTGGGAGGTGGAGGTTGCAGTGAGCCGAGATCACACCACTGCACTCTAGCCTGGGCAACAGAGTGAGACTCTGTCTCAAAAAACAGAACAAAACAAAAATAGTGCAGCTGAGTATCTTGACACCACTGACTTTTCCTTTTCTTTCTTTGTTTTTTAACCTTTGCCTTCTTTCCTCGGGATACAGTGCTTAGAGGAAGGTTATTGGACAAAGGATAGAAAAGCTACTTGGTTTGTATGATCAGATGGCTGTCGGGTGACAGACCCTCTTCTCGACCTAACTCTACTCCACTAAGCCTTTGAGGCGCTGACCTTGGGCTCTGTCCTGGGCTTGTTTAGTTCAGGTTTAGCAAGAGTCCTGCTGGGTCAGTTTAGTGAAAATCCTATGTGATCACCCTCAATATTTGATCAAATTCCTCATCCTCCACTCTCGATATCTTGTTACCCTGGCCTGCTTTCAGCAAGATTCCTGCCGAGTTGGTTGAGCAAGCATCCCCTCTCCTCAGTGTCCCCTCTTAGTCATTTTCTGCCCACCCGGCACCCTTGCTACTGGACTGCACATCCTGCTTGTCCTTGGTAGAGTGAGACTGAGCCCAATCTCGCTCTCACACAGCAAAGCTCCATGGTGGTAACCCCCATGGAATAAGGTCTTCCTACCTGTCTTTAGCAAGACAAGAGTCATGAATACTTTTTTCTTTATTTTAAAAATTATTACTATTATTATTATAATAGTAATCTCACTCTTTTGCCTGGGCTGGAGTGCAGTGGCGTGATCTCAGCTCACTGCCACCATGCCTGGCTAACTGTTATATTTTTAGTAGAGATGGGGGTTTCACCATCTTGGCCAGGCTGGTCTTGAACTCCTGACCTCATGATCCACCCACCTCGGCCTCCCAAAGTGCTAGGATTACAGGCATGAGCCATATTATAATAATATGGCTCCTGGCCATATTGTTATTTTTAATAGAGATGGGGTCTTGCTGTGTTTCTCAGGCTGGTCTTGAACTCCTGGACTCAAGCGATCCTCCCATCTCAGCCTCCCACAGTGTTGGGATTACAGGTGTGAGCCATGACTCCTGGCCAAATGTTTTTTCTTTAACATAAGAAAGGTTGAAGCAGTTGATAGTACCAGCAGCCATGAGTTAATGTAAATATCCCCTCTGCTCCACCCCGTACTACCTTTATTGGGGTTTATCTTTTTGTTCCTTTGCGATAGTGTCATAGGCATGTAATGATATCTTAAAGTATCAAGCCAGAGAAAGTGGGAGATTTTCCATGTCATGATTTCTTATCTCGAACTCCCCATGTGAGGACTTTTATTATCCTCGACCACTGATTAAGTGGCTTCTACAGCACTGAATTTTGTGTGTGTGTGTGTGTGTGTGAGAGAGAGGGTCTTGCTCTGTTGCCTAGGCTGGAGTGGAGTGACATGATCACGGCTCGCTGTAGCCTCTATCTCCTGGGCTGAAAAGATTCTCCTACTTCAGCCTCCCACATAGCTGGGACTACAGGTGCACACCACCA